ATGTTAGTGAATTCTCCTTTCATCTGTCAATTAGCCCCTGTTTGAACCATATTAAAATTTTCATTCTCATTCATCTACTCATTTTCAACCATACATTTTTCAATAAAATAATATTTTTCGTCACATCAATAACTTTTTCTTCTTTTTCAACAATAAATTTTTCATCAATCTACTATTCCAAAATACATTCTTCCAAAATAATGTGGCTCAAATACACCCTTAATTTTTTTCTTGTACATTTATGATATTTACTTCATATTGTGTCGTATATCTATCCTCATATTATAACAAACTGGTATCAGAACGTGTACGTACCGATTTTCTCACAAAATCTACTAAAACTTTTATTAGTTAAACAATTCTTGAGTTTTGTTCAATGGGTACCATGAAAAGACTTAAATAACAGAAAGAGGGATAAAAAAAGGATGTCTACTCTAATCTTGTCGTTCTTATCCTCTTCTTACCCCTCATTGCATTGTTTACTTGAATCAACGTTAACCTTATAGTTATTTCCTAAAGCTCAGTCTTATCCTTGTAGCTTAAGATAGCAGCCAACTTGAAATAGAAATAGCCCATTTCTAGAAGCAAGCAAGTCCACGCCTAAGTATAGCTGCTGCTAGCTGGGTGCATTGTCACGATCCAATTCTCTAAATTTGATGTTTTAAAGTTGAAACTATAACAACTGGTGGTGTGATATCAACTCAGAAACTGAACCCACTGGTGCTGCGCGGGGTCCGAATTAACTATCCAGCTTCTACCACGTGTTACCATTCCATTACTCACCTTGCCAATTAATGTCAAACCAGGCATCCCTTCAAAAGTTAAATAAGTTAAAATCTTGCGTATTATCGGCTCGTTTGACGGAACTTTTTTAACTTTTTGAAAAGTATTTTGTTCATTTAAAGAACTTTTACACGAAGTTGGCCACTCGTAGAAAACAGAGTTAAAATCTTGCGTATTATCGGCTCGTTTGACGGAACTTTTTTAACTTTTTGAAAAGTATTTTGTTCATTTAAAGAACTTTTACACGAAGTTGGCCACTCGTAGAAAACAGAGAAGTCACTGCATTAAATTATAATTCATTTTCTTTCTCTTTTTATTTATCATTCATTTTTCAATAAAATAATATTAAATATATATCCAAAAATATTTTTTTTAATTATACATTCTTTAAAAAATTATTATTCCTGAATAATGGGGGCGCTAGACATACGTGCAGGGAGTTGTATGTATTGGCGGCTACCGTTAAAATGAAGAAGGGGTTGGGTTGGGGTGGGGCGTGAGTTTCGAGAAGAGAAGAGTGAGTGAGAATGTGTACAAGAAATGAAAGGCAAAACGTGGATGGATAGAATAAGTGGTCCCGTCCGAGAGTATCGGGTAACGACGCGTGTAAAAGTTGGAGGTTGCAACCCATGTGATGATGTATGAAACTTTACTTGGCATGGAAGAATATGTCTTTTTCGCCCACTTTCTTTCTTTCTTTCTTTTTTTTTTTTTTTCACAACTCCAGCCGCAGTTTTATTCAATCCAGTTAAATTGTTGGGAAAAAAGTAATTAATCAAAAAGAGCAAGTTGATTCAGATTTTAAATTTAAAAAAAAAAAAAATTGGATTGGTCGAGACGATAGGGTGAAACCAAGTCGAACTGGGATTAAAAACTTGTTAAAAAATTAATGATCATGCTACACGAACAAAAAAATTGAAATAACGGTTGACATAATATCATATAACATTTCTTTATTGAATTCTTTTAAACACGATCAATTTTTCCACATAATCAAACCTCCTGTCATTGCATCTGACAAAATATCATTATTCAAAAATTAATTTTGAGTGAAATTAACTTGTTTCTTGTTAGTTTTCACAATTTTTTTTAAATTTTCGACTACTTCTTAGCCTCGTTTTTTGTAATTTACTCAAGATAAAACAAAATAATAGGTAAATTGTGGATAATGCTATATGTTGTCATCCACAAGGGGGAGTATTATTGATTATTTTCCATTTTTGTGTATATATGCTAAGTAGTTCTAACTAATACGCTTTATCTTAATTAGACCTTTTTGTTAGTTATTCTTTGACAAATTTCTATATTAATTTGCGTTTCACACTATAATTTTCAATCTACAGAATTAATCATAGAAAACTCTTTTAGAAATTAATTTTCAAACACTTTCTTTAGAAAACTTTCTTCGAGAAGTAAAATTAAAAGTAAAAATCTTGTCAAACAAACAGACTCTAAATCATAAACAATTTTATTTTATTTTTATTTAAATCTATCGTCGTCTAAATTAATGTTGTAACACCACACAATATTATTCTTTTAGTATGAGTTTGGTTCCATTTCGACCACTTTACAGTTTACAAGGACAGACAAAGTTGGCATGCTTTTCATGTCCGGACTTACTTTCCCAGAAGTGGATAGTCAATTCCATCCACGTTGTTCCACTTCCTCCATCCAATCCCATTCCACTTTATTTCTTTCCCCAATAGCAATATCTTGTTTCATTTTCACAAATAAAAACAATTCGGACAAAACTAAAAGTTTTCCTGTCTGCGAGAGTGACCTGTGCTCTCCACCATTATTTTGAACTGAATAAAACAAGAAAAACTTCATCACTCCGAAACTCTGCTCCAATTCAAATACGTTTGAGAAAGTACGACAAAATTATATTTATCACGGGTTTGCATTTATCAATCTTACTCGAGCCACTCCGAGCCCTTGAAAAATTAGTTATTGCAAAGAAGAAGTAGTTAACTCGTCATATATATGCATGATCTATGTAAATTTAACGAGAAGTGTCAAAATGACAATATAGATTAGATCCAACCATTTCAAAGAGTGCTGTTATTCGTAGTGAAGATTGTCGGTAGTCTTCCTACCTGTCATACACATAGTACCAAATAACAAACTGTCGTGTGTGTACCACATATGACGGCTACCGATAGTTTAACAAACTTTCATGTGTATGCCACATAAGATGACTACATGTAGTTTTCACTATGAATAATATTATTCCATTTCTAGAACGACTCTATACGAATGATGTCATAGCTGAGTCTTAGACAATGAATTTGGGTATACCTATGTATGTCAATATTTAGATCAATCAATGAAGGTGGTGAAAGTTTTTGTTATAACTGTTCACTCATCTCGAGCCGCGCATGTGCTGCTAGCTACTAAAAAAGAAAAGCAATACAACTAAAGAGGACGGCTTGGCTGGTAGCCCATAGAAAGGGGATAATACCACCTAATTGGACAACAAAGGTTGCATTGCATGTCCAAAATTCAGAGGCCAACCTTAAATATTATTTCTTTAATCTCAGGTTTCAGATCCCAACTCAACCTAATCACACTTGTTTTTATGTTTTTCTTTTAACCCTCTTCCTCTTTATTATTTACCCAATTGGGAAAGCCAAATACAAGGTGACTTCCCTCAGTTCATAGCCTATTTTCAAGAAAACAGTCAAAACACATTGCTAAGAGAATTGATTTTACATCAATTATCGTATGAGATTCGTATCCATTCTTGATTCTCTAAATAATTTACTTGCTTTTAGTTAGATCTTTTACTTGTTTTGGATTAGATATGTACTTTGTAAGTGGTTTGAGTTCGAAAGGAATAAATCACTAATAGATGTATATTTAGAAGTCGATAAGGATAACCGATAACGGATATGATTATGCAATAGTGTGGATGTGAGTAAACAGCTAAAGAATAAGATTTTAATTATTTTTTTTAATATCGTTCATATTATCCGATTTTTCATAACCAACGTATCATAGTTGTATTACTAGATGTAAATAGGAACATATAGTGCATGATAAAATTGGCACATTAATTTCTTGTAGTGAGTTTACGTACTTTATACGTAGGCCTTTTGGGATGTCGCCGTATGTGGGACAAACACAAAATAGCAATTGGCACCAGCATCATGTAAACACTATAAATCACGATAAAATCTCACCTCATTGGAGTGTAGATTTGATGGTCATCATCAGAATAATCCTAAAGAACTTTATGGGGGTCCTTTTTGTTGGTAATGCCCATGTTTGATCTTAAAATTAACCCAAGTGTACACACTTTTGTGTACACTCAGGTTGACAATCCCCTCACATTGCGGGGTGGGATCCGCGATTTTTAAAATCGCAAGCCCCACTCTCACGTGAGGGGATTGTCCATCTAGCATTTCTCTTGATCTTAATATTCAAAATTATTTTTTTCAAACTCATTTTCAACTACCCTTGTTTATGAAACCCACAAGTTTTATTAAATTTTTAATCAAACCAAACAAGTACGTATAAATTAGGATTTTGCCATTTGTACACTAATAGCCTGTTTGAGCCCCACTTTGATATGAAAATGTAGTTTAGAATAGTGAATTTTTGGAGAATGAGTGGTTAAAAAACAAAGAAAAGTTTTCGATTTACGTATAAAATTATTTTACGGAAAAATGTGTGGTTGAAAATGAGTTTTTGAAAAAATATGGGCCAAAAATAGGTTAAATTTATACACTTTGATCCACTTGCATTGTTGTCAACAAATAATTGAATGAAAAAATTGTTTAAGATTTAAATTGTCCAATTGGATCACGTGGTAAAGTGTAAATCAAAACGTACACGAGTATAAATATAAAATGGTTTCTATAAATTAAGGTGTTTAAATACGACAAGGCATCCATCGATCAACTAATTATCGGAGTCAAGTTTCACCAAATCAAACCCAAAAAATGCTATTGCCCCTCCTCAGTCCAACTTTCCGTATTTGACAAATTTTATCCAATAAAATTTTCATAAGACAATGGCATTCATGATATTTCCGATAAGACCAAGACTTATTTCAAGTTCCTAGGTTTATAAATAAAGTCTTCCCTGTACCCTTCAATTCCTAAGATAACAACCACCTCCTCTAATTTTCATTCCCATGTGCAAGAAAAACGTCCCTTGCTATATTCTGTACCTAGTACTCATATTCAACGAAAGAGAGAAGCACAGCAACAAGCATGAATCAAATTGACGATGATCAAATGATACTGATATCTCAGTACTATCCTGCTGGAATATACGACCAACTCCTTCCAGAACAAGGTCAGTACTACGTTGTAAAATTAACCATGTTTGGTACGTTGGACTCGACTCGACTGTACCACCCACCATATAAAGATAAATTGATGCCTCTTTTGGGCTAACAAATTATTTTTCCATGCACTTGAATCTTTACTTAGTGTTGAGGACTAAATTATGATGAATTTTAATCTCAGTGGAAGCGAAGCCGAGGCGTAGGCGGAAGAAGAACAAAGGTGAGGCGGGGAGCAGTGGGATGATGAGGAAGAGAAAGTTGAGTGAACAACAGATGAATCTATTGGAGCAGAGTTTTGAAGATGAACACAAATTGGAGTCGGAGAGGAAGGACAAGCTTGCCTCGGAACTCGGTCTTGACCCTCGACAAGTTGCGGTCTGGTTTCAAAACAGAAGGGCTCGATGGAAGAGCAAGAAGATGGAGGAAGAATACTCCAAGTTGAAGACTCAACATGACACCACTGTTGTTGAGAAATGCAGACTTGAAAACGAGGTTCGTCGTCGTTCTCTCTCTCTCGCTCTTGTTCGCTCGCACGCACGGACCTCCTTATGTAAAATAGATTGTACAACACAACACGACACGAATAATAAAAAAGTTAAAATATTATCAATTATATTTTATCAAAACAATTACAAAGCGTTTGCTTTTTAACTGTTGTAACTTCATTTTTTACTGGGACTAAACCTCCATTCGATAGATATTAAAATAAGATTTTTAGTATATTTTGAGAGAAGTTGATGGAATATATGATTTTAATCTAAAAATTGACCGTTTCTTTTCACCGTTGGGTCTCACATGTGAAACTAGAAGTCAAGAATGGCTGCTAGCAACGGGTTAAAAAGCAATTTCTGTGGCAGGATAAGCGCTCCCAGACGGGATATAATTGTTAATTTTGACTTTAATTAAAATTTAGATTATAATCACAACCAAACAAGGCTTAATATTCTGTCCAATTGAACATGCATGGACTCTTTGCTCGAAAAGATGTGTCGCATCGTGTTGTAGTAATGATGACACAATGTGAACAGTGACCGGAGAAAAAAAATAACGAGAAATTAAAGTCTGCCACCCCAAAAGAGTACAAAATGTACTACGTCCCCATTTTCAAAGGTCCGTACATAGTTAATTAAGGTGGCTAGAGGCTAGTGCTGAGCCCATTGGCTGTCTTAGTGGACCATCTCCAGCACTTGGCACTCCCACTCACGTGGATACAGTCAATACATATACACGTGTAGCTTTCTTGATATAGTAAATTAAAAAATAGTACTAACGATACTATTACACCAATCTAAATAGCGTCACGCGATATGATCAATGAAACGTAGAATTAAATGACTCATTTAATATCATCTAAATAGATGTTTTAACACCAATTGTGCAAAATAAAGTGTGAATAATTGATGGAACGTGTTAAGCCTGAAGGGTTTTTTCATAGAAAGTGTTGATTCGGAAATCTTTTGTTTCGAGGTGTTAACGATCGTTTGCTTGTTTGTACAGGTGTTAAAGCTAAAAGACCAACTATGTAATGCGGAGAAGGAGATACAAAGGTTAACGGAGTGTTTCGAGAGATTTTCGAGCAATAGTCCGAGTTCATCTTTCTCAATGGAGCCTCCATTTTTAGGGGAATTTGGAATGGAGGGTTTGGAGAATGCATTTTACGTGCCAGAAAACAATTACATTCATGGGTATGATTGGGTTAATCTCTATACATGATGTGTAATTAATTGACTAATTAAAATATTTAGATAGAGCCAACTAATGTACATCCTTTGTACTATCTAGCTTTCTAGTTAAGGTTTTAGTACTGCATGTTACTAATGACTAGCAAAATAGCAATTGATTTGTCACCAATGTATCTTCCTTTTGCCTATTTGTACTAGGTCATTGTATTTCGTCTATTTGGTATATATAAAATGTTTATTAAACTCGTAAAATAAACTAAAGATATTTTGATCACATACATCGTGAATAGCTAAATTCAGTAGGCCGGGGTTTGCGTTTGATTAGTTAGATGATGCAATTGTGAGTCTTATGGCATGTTTGGGTCGGATTAAAATTTGTGATTAGTTAGTTGATGCAATTGTGAATCTTATGGCATGTTTGGGCCGGATTAAAATTTGATTTTAATCTAAGTCGAAATCAAACAATCAATAGTAACCAAATCTTTCATGGGTCTCGTATCTTTTCAATCATACATTTCAAAATTTTTTATTATAATCTATAAAAATCTAATTTTAATTCTCACCAAACACACTAAGAATAGTGTAATTTGTGTCTTTTTATTGCCTACCAATTGACCAAAATGTCGGGCTTCCAATTTGTCAGTCCAAGTGAAAGTCTTAGTCTTGAGCTACAAATTCCTAGGTAGGAATGCTGGGTCGCTTGTCATGGGCCGAAGTATGTATAGTTGATTTCTCTCTTCTTGGATTGGGTTCCTGATCCAATGGGGGAGTCTGGGCGTGATTTCTTTCTGATTTTAAGTGTTTTTTTTTAACGTTGAGGCTTGCAACGGTAAAAAATCGATGAAATGGACTGAATGTTGTATCAGAGCAAATTTCCAAATGAAGCCCACCATTACATTATGTGTCAGAAAATTTCAGGGCCATCACGTAAAAGTGAGGGCATAATAGTCATTCACCCATGTAGATTTATTTGACTAACCACAATATGCTTACACGTGGTCAATCATAAACGGTTCCAAAATCGATTTTCATGAAGTGAAAATCTCGCCCAGACAGCACCATTATATATAGAAGCAGTTGATGTTAAGCTTGAATATCCGAACATATGGTCTCCCTCAAGCACTGACTCGAATCACACTGGTAGATGAAGTAGAAGAAGCGGACAACTTTATACTAAAAATTCAGCAAGTAAAATTTGAAAAAATTACTTATAAGTAAACTGAGTGTCACAATCATATCATAAATCTAAAATTTGAATAATATTAAAACAGTGAATAAAATTTTCTATTTATTATCTATAATGACGTTTAACGAGCATGAAATATAATAGAATAAATCATTCAACATTTTTTATTTTTTTTAAAAAGGTTGAAATTTGAAAATATTATTTTCACGTGAACTTATTTCTATGTAAACTAACCCAAAATAATGGTAACAACTAGCAAATACGATAGAAGAAAATTGTGAGGACAAAATACCTTGATAACCATCTCACGTGAACTTTCGAAAATATTTCGAATCTGTCCCACAAAGATAGACGTATTTCCATTTTCACACAGATTAAGAAAATATAATTTTTCTTACATTTTTTCCTTTACATACTCCTATATTAAATAATGATTTAATAAAAATATTTCATATTTGTTGATAATAAGAACTAATAAATTAATTATACTCTCGATAAAGAAAGCGATCTATAGTTTGGAACAAAGAAAAAAGAACATCAATCATGTCTCCATGTGACGAAGGAAATAAGGAACATGTTTTCCATTGATTAGTTAGTTGATGCAATTGTGAGTCTTATGGCCTGTTTGGGTCGGATTAAAATTTGATTTTAATCTAAGTCGAAATCAAACAATCAATAGTAACCAAATCTTTCATGGGTCTCGCATCTTTTCAACCACACATTTCAAAAATTTCTATTATAATCTATAAAAAATCTAATTTTAATTCCCACCAAACACACACTAAGAATAGTGTAATTTGTGTCTTTTTATCGCCTACCAATTGACCAAAATGTCGGGCTTCCAATTTGTCAGTCCAAGTGAAAGTCTTAGTCTTGAGCTACAAATTCCTAGGTAGGAATGCTGGGTCGCTTGTCATGGGCCGTAGTATATATAGTTGATTTCTCTCTTCTTGGATTGGGTTCCTGATCCAATATATAGAAGCAGTTGATGTTAAGCTTGAATATCCGAACATATGGTCTCCCTCAAGCATTGACTCGAATCACAATGGTAGATGAAGTAGAAGAAGCGGACTACTTTATACTATATTAAATAATGATTTAATGAAAATATTTCATATTTGTTGATAATAAGAACTAATAAATCAATTATACTCTCAATAAGGAAAGTGATCTATAATTTGGAACAAACAAAAAAGAACAACAATCATATCTTTACATGACGGAGGAAATAAGGAACATGTTTTCCATGCTTAAAAGCTTATTAATGGGACTTTTTCTTGGCACATCACACTATATAAAGATCAATATTCCCTGACACAAAAAATGAATTCTCCTGATTTCTCCTCTCTTTTACAAATGGCACACAGGCAATCACTGACTCCGCAAGGGTGATGCACTCGATGAAAACTAACTAGTTATATACATCTTTTTCGAATGTTAGCATAATTAAATCCATAGCTAAAAAAAAGCTAATTATATTCGCACCACGGTACTTTTTTTTACACCATATTACTTTTTGGCAAGTAATAAATGAAAAATCAATCATGCTATATGAATATAATGATTGACATAATTATTGACATAATGTCACATGACAATCTATCATTGGACTGTTTAAAATACAGTCAGCTTTTTCAACCAATCACATTTTGTCAACATCTATTTTGTCAACAATTTTGTCACATTTTTCGGGCAAAGTAGTATTATTCATGAAAAATATACTTAGAAGTTTGGATAAAACTAGTTGTAACTTGTGATCGACAGCTATCTTGACATTTCTTATATGTCAAAATCCGTGTCATTAATTGTTTAAAGTGTTTTTTAAATCAATGTGTAAAAAACCGTCACTTCATAAGTGAGTCCAACTTGATGTCAACAAAGATGTTAATGTAGCGTGATTTGTATAAGTTTTCTTAAAATTCGTTCATATAGTGAGGATATAATTTCTGCACAGGAATCACTATGATCACAAACATAAAAAGCTTCTCTTTTTCAGCGATCACTTTCATTTTCTACCACAATGGGGGGGCATCTTCGTGCAAGAATCTTGCTAAAAATCTAGCACAGTGACTCAGTGAGGTAGTTGTTACCTTTTGAATTTTCCACTTCGGTGAATTTTTCCCTGGTTCTCCCTTCAGCATTAACTAGAATCATAATGGTAGATGAAATAGAATAGAGTAATGCTACTTGCAGTCGCTCACTGCACAGTCATCTTATGTGGCACACACATGACATGTAGTTATTTGATGCATTAATGTGATAGTTTTTTACCACATTTAATGCATCAAATACACACTTGACATGTGTATGCCACACAGGGCGGCTGCTGCAGTGAGCGACGACAAGTATTTATAACATGTTGAGAATCAAGTTGGGAGAGCTCAAAGAGTAATGCTACTTGCAGTCGCTCACTGCAGCAGTCGCCCTATGTGGCACACACATGGCATGTAGTTATTTGATGCATTAATGTGGTAGTTTTTTACCACATTTAATACATCAAATACACACTTGTCATATGTGTGTCATATAAGGCGACTGCTGCAGTGAACGACTACAAGTAGCATTATTCAGTAGAATATCCATTCTGAATAATCTATCAGAGCGGATAACTTTATACTAAAAATTCGTCAAAGTAAAATTTAGAAAAATTACTTATAACCATTACATAATAGTACATAACAATCTCTATTTATTATTAATAAAAGTAACCAGCACATAATAGTACAAAAGAATTTATAATAAATTATTATTATTTAAAATGATGTTTAACAAATGAATTTTAAAAAATTATGAATTCTAATTAATTTCGTGGATTTGAATAGATTTCGACAAGATCCCAAAAAAAAATCTTATTAAAAATAGTGAAATTCAAAAGGGTTTACATTACTCGTATTTTTAAGCTTGAAATCTATTCAAATCTTTTAAAATCCTTCTATTAATGAAATGTCCGTAAATCCCCGAGTTATTGATGTTATTTGGATTCTAATTGATTTCATTTAAATCAATTAAAATCTCAATTAAGGACATTTAAATTTAGTAGGATTTTTAAAATCTATCAAAATCTCAGTTGAGTACACCCCGTAAATAAAATAAATCTTTCAGCTTTTTTTTTTAAAAAATTTTATAAAAGGGTTGAAATTTGAAAAGATTATTTTCACATAAAATAACAATTTGAAAAAAGAAAAAAAACGATAGAAGAAAAATGGATTTGACCGTGACAGATTGGAATCTTATTGCCTTGAACCGATGACTATGTGCTTTTAGTACTCGTCTCTTAAAATCCAACGATCGCTTCTTGAGATAGCAATAAAAATCCCGAGATCTACATATTGAAAAGTCTTTTTGAACTCTCTTTATAATGGCTAAACTGTATATTCAATAGTGTTTTGGGCAATATGAGAATGGACTTTGCGAAAAGTACATAAGGGTGTCCATAATGGACACCCGACATCTCCTTATTGGATGGAGTACCAGTGAGACCGACACTCCATCCAATAGGGGGGTGTCGGGTGTTCATTATGGACATTCTTATGTACACCCTAATGTACAACAAGAATAATCCATATGAGAATAAAGAGCGGAAAGAATGAATCTTTAAAGACCAAGAAATTTATAATTGATGTGGAAATATGCACATTCTAGAAGAAGTCGCCATGTTTTGCGATTTGGAGCCTCTTTGAGCACCATTAAAATATGAATAATGCATTTTGGAATAGTAGATTGATGAAAAATATGTGATTAAAAAAAATTGGGTTTGAGTGTAATATCATTTTATTGAAAAATGTGTAGTTGAAAAGAAGAGAAAGAAAAATGTATTTTGAAAAAAAAAATGAGAATCAAATAAA